ATTCCTTAGTTCCTGAAAATCTAGCTTTTGCATCCTACCAGGTGGTTTATGTTTCTAAAGGAGGGCAATGCTTTTATTTCTTTGCACTGTATTTAATAGCTGCATAAAATCCCCCACTTTCTGAATTCAGTATGTCTCTGTTGACAGCTGAGCACTGAGCCCATAAGTTCTGATTTGACATGATTATGTGGGTGCAGGGTAAAGAGGGTGTCACTGAACTTTCAAAACTGAGCTACATCCCACTCCTGCAGGAGAGGCGGCTCTGTGCTGCTTCAGTCCCAAACCATCATGTTATAAAGGGCATGCTATCAAAACGTGTAAAATGTGTGCACAGGCCGTGTAGCAGCTTCAGGATGGGAAAGGATTAGGAAAGAACAGCACCACACAGCTCTAGCAGACCTGGAATAATGCAAAGGAAACGCCTGGAGAATACTGAAAGGATAACTCTGAGAAATAGTGCATGAGGTAGAGAATTTAATAAGGATAATAAAGGAGACTTGGTCAGAGCTTTCTTTACCTCAAAACACATCTATTTAATTATGTTTTGCTTTTGGAGTTGCTTTTAACCTGATTGCTCAGTGATACTGCTGCTGTTTTAATTTCAAGTCACTCTGACCGTCTTGCCTGTAATCCATTTACAAGGAATGCCGTGACCTGGAGTTTGTCACCTGACATGTCATTCCTCATGGCAGCATTAGATTTCAGACACACCATCTCAACAAATCAGTCAAGCAGGAAGATTCAGAAAGGAAATGCCATATCTTGACATGTAAGCCAGTGAGTTAGAGAGGAGCAGGAGGTTTGCAAGGCCCAGACCCATCTCTATTTCCACAATGGAGGGATTTCTCCTGTTCATCACAGTTTAGCAGTTTATGTGACATATGCATGATATGTATATGAGCTGACTAAAAGTCTAACTCTGCTTTTGGCTACACTGTTGAAAATCCAGTGGATATTGACAGTTCTTGGACCTGCTATCATGTAAAGTAAAAGGCAGATTTGTCCAAAGAACTAATCAGTTATGCTCTTCCCACAGAATAGTCACAAGCAAATGCTGTGTTGTCCTGACATTTTTCACAGATGGAAAAAGGCCTTGCAAACTCTTCAAGATCATCTACTGCAGGAGACAGAAGAGCCCTGGGAGAACTGTGATTTTTTTAATGCCTGCAATATGTGCATCTCACACAGGCAGTCGTCAGCACAAAGCTTTGCAGCTGAAGCAGTTGTAGTGTATGAACTCATTAAGTAAACTAATTTTTTAGCTATCATTAAGATTGATCTCAGGTACCTTGATGATCCATTTTCTGCTTTAGTAAACAGTCTTTTTATGCTGTATGGAAACAGAACAGCAAAGCAGGCCTTTCTGTGGAAGTTTAATGGCATAAAATCTCAGCTTCAGTCAATTTGATGAAGATAGAATGTGAAACTGCCTCCCGGGTACAAGACAATTATGCAGAAGAAAAAAAACTTTGCAGGAAAATTTACAAGAGTCTGGAAAACACCATGAATCTATCAACAGAGAAGGGTCCATTTCAGGCTTCCATTACCAATTCCATTAAATACTCAAATGGTTATGTTAGTTTCTGCCCCTCTAATAAGAACAAAGTAATTTAAATTGTAATATTTTTTTCATGTAGTATCTTTTCCCATGGATTTAGAGGATATTGCCACAGTGCATTCTCCCAGAGATAAACATTCTGCTTTTATGCAGTTCAGATTTTTGTATATCCATCTTGAAGGACTTCAGAGTTTCAAAAGTGCTGGGAATTTGCGTTTTCAAATGCAATTAAGAGGATCTATCAGTGTGTAGAAACTGGGCCTAGAATGCCAGAGAATGCCTACTCAAAATAGGAGCCCTCCTGCAGCATGAGTGCTTTAGTGAGTCATCCCAGATCAAAGAGCGAGTTAGAAAGTGAGGCAAGGCAGAAACCAGATCTCCTGACTCCGGGTGTCTGGTTCCAGTGATGAGATTATCCTGCTCCGGGAAAGCGGCCGCCAGAGTAGTGACCTATTTACCAACGTAGGTCACTTCCATTAGCCCAGTGGTTATTGTTCTGTTGTTTTAATTAGTGCCATTTCAAATAAGTGGCCATCTCTGTGGAAAGGTCAGTACCTTTCTAAACTCTTCCTCTGTACAAATGACATTGCTAGGGAAACAACACCGGAGAAGTAATCAATTCTTGTTAGACCTCCCGAACACGACATGCAGTTGCTAAGCTGCTGGCCAGGCACATCTCAGTTGAGGAGATGACTCACTCCATCAGTGTATCTCAGAGCAAACATTGTTCAGCCCTGGCCTAGCCACACATGACAAGTACAAACATGTTTTGAAACAATACCAGCTGTTAAAGCATTAATTCTGAAGCGGGGGGAAAGGGCAATAAATCCCGTTCAGGAAGAACTGGGACTCTGTGGTAATATCCTCTCTAGGAAATTTATGTAGGTACACCAAACAATCCCCACAAACATGGAGAGGCCCACAGAATTAACTCCTCTCTATCACAGAGGAAATATGTCTGCTTATAAATCTTCAGATCCATGTTGATGTGCCACCCAGCCAGCAAGGCAGCTTCACCATTTCTCCTGTAAAGTGTAGTCCTTGTTAAAAGGCCTGTCATGTCAATTTGTCCATATCCTTACTGACAAAAAGAAAGCTTTGAAAATGGAACACGGTTGATACCATGTTCAGTCTGGCTTTAGTGGCAAAGCTCAGATCATTAGTGGTCAATGGTGCCTTATTACACTTCATGTCTGCACGTGGCTGGAAAGGAATACTGTACTGACAAAGGAGTCAGAGTGAACTCAAATAAAATTGTGAGCTGGATCAGAAGGCTCAGAGAAACTGTAGAACTCCTGATGTGATTTATAGAAGTGACTAAACAATGGAGAAGTATAAATCCTGTTGCCTTCAGTAGCACATGCTGTATGTGGATATGTGCACAACTTTTAAACAATTTATCAAAATAAGAAAAAATTTGGAAATATCAGTATGCAGACATTGAAATCTTAAGTTGTCAAAGCAGGTTATAAATCTGTCTTGTGGTGAAGTCTTTCTGTTTTCTGCTAATAGAAACTGACTGCAGCAGTGCCTAAATGTAGACACTTTAAAGAAAGAACATGAAAGGCACTTATGAATCAATGCACTTATTTATGTGTGACATTTTAAACTTTTAAATACTCCTATTTCTTTTAAAACGTTATATTTAGACTTAAAATTAGGCCTAATTTAATAGATTTTGCCGGATTAAACTCTAAAATCAGTGACATTTTTGCATTTGCGTGAATTAGTGAAGGAGAATAATCTATTCACTTGAGTTTACAAAGGGTTTTTAGGTTCTTGACTGTATAATCTTATCCTGAAAACTGTGCCTCTTACAACAGAGAAATCCTTATATTCCTGTTGAAATACTAGTATGGTACTGATTCAGGATAAAAAAATAGAATCTTAAGCTCAACTGAAAGGAATGTTTATGGTCCTTTCCATAAGCTTTGGATCAAGTGATTAGTGAGGCATCAATACCACCACTATAATTCTAGCTTGTTTTTTTCTTCATCAGTATGTCTGATCCAGCTTGTAACACAGCCCAGACCTGTTTTGTTTAGGACATATGGCAAGGTCAGGAATCACATTAAAAGGATACATACCAAAACGAAAAGAGTTGTCACAAAAACACCATCGTGTGATGTAGAATTGAGAGGGTGCAATCAGGCAGGGTGCCAGCAAATACTGCTTTCATTTTAATTTTATGTAAATAACATAGTATAGAGGGCTCAGGCAGACAGGATTATGTGATTTCTCATCAGATGGCAGGCACAATTGCTTCTGCTGATCTACCATGAAGAGAAATATGTTCGCTAAAAAACTAGTTTTTAGGTATCAGTGCTGTGTATCTTTCTGAAGGAAAAGGATCCTCCCAGCTGATGGATAAAATGTTGGCATTACACAGAGAATATGACCTAAAATTTTTACTAGCCCTATTGTGTCTTTTCTGTCACAGTTCCCACATCTCATACTGAATATTTTAGCTGTTCATATAAAAGGAATTTTGATATTTCAAAACCAAGTCTCTCAAAAATACCCACCAACTAGCTGATATGCATCAAATTTTGAATCCATGTTTAACTGAAGCTTTAAAAAGCTGATAAAGGGAAGGAAAATTCTACACCATGTCCATAATATGACTGAGGAAATATGGCAGATACTATGATGATCTGTATTTTGAATATCTACTGTGGTATCAAAAGGACTTTTTTCCCACATAAGCATACAATATTTATGTCTGAAACATCCATCTTTATGAAGAGATGCTTTTACTTTCAAATTAGATGAGTTCAGCCCTGAAATTTTCATAGAAATACATTTTCCAGTCTTCTAGAGCTGTATACATGGCTACAACTGTCCGGTGGGTTTTCAAGTAAATGCTTGACTTCAGCAACTTTGGAAAATATTTGTTTTAATCCCTTCAATTTACATATTTATTTCATCTAAGTATGATTTTAAACATTTTATTAGACTTCTTTTCCAATGAAACCACATAAAATCCAGACATATAAGCAGTTTGGGACAGAGTTTTTCCAGCAGGATGAAGCACATATTTCATAGTCTTGTATTCTTTGTGAAGTTAATTAAAGCCTTTCATTGCTTTCATCAGAATAAATTGCTACAGATAGTTATCTGTAGTTTGTGACTTACGTGACTGGAATAGAGAATATATATGCACACTTTTACTGTCTTTATGTATATTGCTCTATTTGGTGCACCTATTGACATGGTTCAGTTATTATTTTTTTTAAATAAGATTGATCAATATTCCATGTAGCTATTTGTTTGTTCTTTTACTGTTGGCTCTGCATTAATCCTTCAGAGGCAAGGGTGAAGGGTGTTCTTTTAGGTTTCTGCTTACCACTCAGACTGGTGCTGGGGAGCATATGGTATAGATTCTGCATCTTATCCACTGAAGAATAACTGGGATTTGGTTTTGTTTTGCCTTGCTTTCCAGAAAACTTAGATACAATGATAGCTGAGCAGACGAAGAAGAAGCTTGAGAACCCTTCCACTAAAACCAGAACAAAACTAACAGCAGGTACCTATTCTACAATTTTCTCTCCTGGAATAACACATTTTTTTAATCTATTCAGTTGAAAGTATGCTAATTGCTGTAGCATCCAGACTACTGGTTAAAGCTACAATCCCTCAAGGACCTATAGCCAAGCTTGGTTTTCTAAACACACAACAAGAGAGAAATTTTCACTTAATTGTCCAGACTTTGAGAAGTATACTCACTGTCTTTTTCTTCATTGGAGTCTGTACATTACACATATACAAAAGCTTTTCATAAGAATGAAAAAACGTTATTTGTCAACTTTGGACCTAGTGAATGTGAATTCCATATAATCTTTCTCTGCACAAAGAAATGTGCCTTTATGAACTATGTATCATTGCATTGTAGTTACCTGCGTTCAGCTACTGTTTGTAAGAGCAGAAGCAGACATTCCAATTTCCAGAGGTCTGGAGCAGAGATGACCTTTAGAAACCACTTTGAGACAGACTCCAGTGAGGCTCTTCCTCAATCATCAGTCAAAATGTTTTACTTGCCAAAGATTGTTGGTGTGATTGAGAAATGCTTTTGGTATATTTGATACAAAATTGTTTGCTCTTGTCATTTCTTTAGACAAGAGTAGTGAAGAAGCAGACAGTACAAAGGAAGAAGCAGCTAAAATGGAAAAGGAATATGAAGTTTCAAAGGATTCTACAAAAAATGAAGGACAAAATGCAGCAGGAAATAGTGAAGAGTCTGGAGGTACAAAATAGCCATTGCTTTTCCTACTGTATATGCTCCAAACGATTGGAGTCTTTTCCTATCTTTGGTATTGTTTTTCCTTTGTGTTAGCATAAATATCTTCAGCTTAGAGTCACTGGGAGTCAGCACACAACAGCTTGATTTGGAAGCGTACTTATTTGCCCGGTTTTAAACATATGACCTTGCTGAGCAAGACCATAATCTTTCACAAAATTCATACCCCCTTGTGAGAACAATATGAAATACAGATTGATACAGTAGTGCAGAGAGATTTTTGCTTCTTTGCATCTGTGCTTTTCAGTGAAATCAGATGACCAGAATATTCAATAATCTGAGTGGGCCCAATGATTTCTATAGTTTGTGTTAGAACAAGCTGGTACTGGAAAGTTCTGCAGTGACAGAATTTGCATTGCTCACTGCCAGAGGTTAAGGGTTATCAGCAATTAACTTGTTTTACATAACTTTGATACCTGTTACAGTAAGTTAGTGTCTCCCTAAGCAAACATAGCACAGTAGTACTGTTACTATGCCAGTTGCCTCAGCATGACACATAATGCCACGTGCTAAATTAGACTGTGCTAAAGTCACTTGGGTGCAAATCAGCTACTATATCTCAAAACAAATCTGCAGAGGACATTGTGCCTCCTTGTTGTGCTGAACTTTTGAAGGAGAATGTTTGTTAGTGCGGAAACCTTTCAGTGAGTTCTTATTGCTAAGGATCCAGCAGAAGCATCTATGTTTTGTAGTCAGTTGGCTAAACAAAATTGCTTATTATCTATTTTGCACCAATGCTGTTTAATGCTTTTTGGAATGCCTGTGTGTCCACTGCAGCCTGCTCAGCCATGAATGGCAGAAATGAAGGCTGCAGTGGATTGTGGAGCATTGGCACCTGGGTCAGTCCTGTGGGCAGTGCAGCCACTCACAGATGGAAGGTGGTATTTTTTCCAGCAGGTCATTTTTTTGAGCATAGAAGAGGAAAATTTCTCAAGATGGTTGTCTGATTTCACAGGAAAAAAAAGTTGTCTCAATACCTGTGGGAAGTGATAAATAACACATTTTGCTTGTCCGTGAAGATTTGTCTTTCCAATTTGGTTCAGGTTATTTTCCTTTGCCTTCAACCCAACAGCTTTTTAGAAATGTTAATTGGATAAGTATTTAGTTCTTTGTATCATCATGCAATGCCCTTTGCTCTTTCACAGAGTAACTTACTATAAAGTTACTGCACTCCCAGCTCAAAAAGTATATCTAATACTGTATCCATTTAGTAATAGAAGCAGACATGCATAGTTGGCACTAGTAATCTTCTACATGCTAATCACACTAGGTTTTTATTCCTGATAAATGTAAGAACATTACATCAATAAAGCTCCAGTCAAGTTAAGAATTCAAAATCCATTAGCTGGAATATTTCCTTAGGGGCCTTATTAGGTAATCCTTGAACTAATTCTGTACTGTGTGCTTTCTGGTCCAAAAATAGCCATCACTTTAAAATTTCAGCTATAACAAGGAGTTATCATGGTAATGTTAATACATTTCTTTTCTCAGTAAATGTAGTAGCTACATTTCCACTTGTCTTTCAAAATTTTGAAATTTGTTTGCCATGTGCTGTTAGCACCACTCTATGGAAGAGTTTTGATACTCAGAGCTCTCAGTTTTAATTAATTCCTTTGCTATCTCAACAGCTTCATCTTTGCTGAACAATAATGATGATCAAAAAGCTACAGGCTGCCTTTAATCCACACAGGCAGTTTGTGTGGATACCACCAAAAGCTATGTATAAAGATCAAAAAAAGCCACAATCCTAAATTTGTGTATGACTAATCTTGCACAGACAAAACCTTCTAGCTGTCTGTGGGAATTTTGCCTGACTAAGTTTGACAGGACTCAGCTTTTAAACAGAAACTAAGAATAGTTTTAATCTGCCTTTGCTGTGACCACCTTCACCCAGTTAAGCAAGCTGCATCAATCATTGATGTAAGTGCCTGAATTCTCTCTCATCCTTTTCTCCAGGGAAATCTGAGGCATATTTGGAAGCAATCAGGAAGAACATAGAATGGCTGAAAAAACACAATAAACAAGGTAACAAGGAAGGTATGCAGTGAAAGGCCTTGACGTTGGGGTGGGCACCATATACATTACAAAGCACGTCATTTATATTGTGGTGTATGACTTAGCATTATGTTATAAGTTAAAAAATAGTGATGTGAAACTGTGCTTGTCTGTGGTGATAGTTAGTGTGTTAAAGTTAAATAAATGTCAAAGTTAAACCAATGAATGAAAATAGTAGACTGAGGCAGATTAATTTAAGCTGGCTCGAATGGCTGCTGGCCATAAAACACAGAGACTGGTGGTCTGCCAGTGTGGCAGGTTTGTCTAGTGCTTCATTTCCTATTTCAACATGCCTTTTAATTATGATTTTATAAGTGATAGGAATGTATTTTAAACGTCTGGATGTGTCTAGAAGAGCTCAGTGCATCTGGCTAACATGCCTTCATAAACACCAATGTACTTTGTTTCATAACCAAGAATAGTTAAGATACAAATTTATGTCACAATGTAATACGTTGGATTACAGCCCGAGTCAACTTGAATGACTTGTAGCTCACACGCAACGCTGTGCAGAAGGGAGCAGAGATTGAAGCAGCTGCACGGGGTGTGCTCACCAGCTGTCCCACCGTTCGGCTCCTCCCCGGAGGCAGGGCTGTGTGAGCACTGGAGGCAGGAGACAACAGAACAGCAGCAGGATTTCTCGCTTATTTTTCACAGATCTTTATTTATTCATACCAGTTCTTCCCTCAAGATCTTACATAAAACCAGCCTCCTATCCCTTTTCTCTGCCATGGCTGTGTGTTCTGCCATCAGCCTCTCTGGAAGTGAAGGCTCCTAGCCAAGGGACCATCCCTGGGCTATGACTGGCGCCTGGTGAGAAGGATCCTTCTTTGCACCAGCAGAGCAGAGGGTGATCTGAGATGAGATTAGCCCTGGGTAATCTAGCCATCCTCTCTGTGTGTTGAAGTGTATATGAATTACATTTCAGACATGGGTGCATGCCTACGGCCCAACACAGGCATTTTCCTATACAGAAACTGTAATAGGAAGGACTTGTAAAAAAAATTGCCATCTCTAAAATCATTTCCTCACAATGGCAGTGATGGCAATTAGCAGCAGGCACACATATTTGCTCAAGAGTTTGCCTGCCAATTCTAATAAATGGTTCTGTTTAGCAGTGTATTCATTATGGTAATTAGATCTCAGTCATGTGTGATTATATCCCAGTATCACACATACTGACTGGGCAGCCCCTCGCTCCCCTTCATAGTAACCTTACCTCTGCACTGCTGCAGTCTGAAATTGGCTGTGACTGCAGATCAATAGCATTTTATCTGCTTGTGACTGCATTTAGATATACATTTCTGCTTAGATGGATTTTCATTTACACTAAAATATCTTTATTGTCCCCTGGCAATGGAAATGAGTCTTAAAGTGAGTGTAAATTATGACAAAATTAGAATACTCTTCTGATAGATCATCTTTATTGTGCCTTTCCATACTTTTTATTTTTGTAAAATGCTACTTCAGGTCCCCTGGGTTGATGTTAAAAGAAGTGCAGTCAGGGTAAGCTTATCTAACTGTAAATGCATTGCAGTGTGTTTCTTTGGTACAAGATGAGGTGGTATTGGTGTGCTCATCAATCATTTCTCCACTTCCAGCTACCACCTGGGAGCTGGCAGAAAAGTAATTCTCAAAGTAATCCATGTATTAAAATGGCCAGTCTTTCCCACCCCCACTCATGGATTGGTTTACTCACTGAATATACTTAAAGAGGTTTAGATTTTCTTCAGGCAAATGTTTGTAGATCCTTATCTTTGTATGAATTTCAGTAGAAATTATTATTTGTTCAATGACTAATAAGCCTGGAAATGTTAATTTACATTTCCCCAGTTTAAAAATATCGATTTCCTATTAAGGAGGCTGGTAAACTTGAGGGGCTGGGATGATCTAAAGAGAAACATCAAAAGCCTGGATTTTGGGCTGATGGCCTTTTGTGTCCAAAGTTTGGTTTGCATATTCTCAATCTATAGGCTCTGTGGGCCTGTCCTTTGTATCTCCCAGACCTGGCTTGATGATTGAAATGCTTTTCAAGAGGAGCTCCTCTCCAGTGTAAACCAGCTTCCCACAGTAGCTGCTGGGTGTTCTATTGCAGTTGGTTTCCAAAGCACAGAAATGAGGCATTTAACTAATACATGTGGATTTTTTACCAAATACTCGGCAGTTTATAGTTTCATAACACTGACAGTAGCCATTTAGGAATGAAATTAAATTCTGTAATCAATCACAATGGCAAATGGCTTGATTTGAATATGCAAATAAGACCTCACTTCATTTACTGTAGCTGTTTCACAGCTCAATGAAATCCTGCAGCTGTTGCAGTGAATATAACCCAAAGCTGATTTTTCTAATTACAATAGGTTGTAAATAAGTATTAGAAATTAGAGGTTATAAATTTCTAGGAAAAATAAATCAAATTAGATTGCAATGAGATATATAACAAATTAGCCAGAACTGGATAATATTGTAGTGGTTGTAATTCCGTACAGAATGTTTAGGAATTAAACATTCACATTTCCACATAATGATTTGGAGTTATAAATAGCATTCTAGAAGTAAAATAAGCTCAGGGATTTTAATGTGAATAATGTGGATATCATATTAATTTAGTGTTTGTTCTTCCATTCATTTCCATTCCTTGATATCTTTCACCAGGGACCCCCATTCTGTCAATATGAATGAAATCTCAGAACCTCATTATGAAATTGCTGGGTACTATTTGTCCCTATTACTCACACAAGCTGGAGAGACAAGCAGGTTACATTCTCTTAAGTAATGACAGTAGCAGACCAGACAAGAAATCTTGGCCTCAGTACAGTGAATGGCAAAATCCTGTAAACTCAGACATGCAAAGACACCTCTGCAGGAGTGGGGAGTTTTGAATATCAATTTTCTGTATTACTCATTTGAAATTGCCTTATACTGTTGTAAAAATGATTGCAGGCATCAATTTGCTTCATAATGTCTTTCTATTTGTATCCAATTTTGGTCACTGACCCCTAAAAAGACAGGAAGTCATTATTGTCTATTTTGTTAAGAATGTACAGTTGGAAAGAAGGTCCTTCCACGTATTGCTGTGTGATGTTATACTTTGGACTACATTACAGAATCACTATGAATGCATTCTGAAAGCTCTATCTGTGAATAAGTAATTTATACTGAAAATATCAGAATGTATCTGCTCTCATGAAAGATACTCATTCATTTAACTTAGTATGAACCCTTAAAACATTGAAGTTCTTCAGGTTCTAACAAATTAACTGCTGATTCTATCAAATTAACTTTTGATTCTAACAAATTAAGCTTTACCTTTTATGCAGCAAATTAGGTAGCTAACTGAAACTTTATTGTGTTTATATGTGAATATACTGAATCTGTTGCCAGAGTTACAACTACACAGTAGGTTACCCATTTATTTTATTTGAAAGGTTGCTTTGCAGTAGAATTCTTTTCGTGGAAAATAGTGATGTTTTCCAGCATGGGAAAAGTCTATTTAACACATATGGTGTGAGTCTGGCTGTATAGATGCACTCATCCACTGGAAAAGCAGGAAGGATCTTTCAGTACTCTGTTGCAGAGTCTATTTGTCAGTCAAAAACTGACACTAACACTGTCACAAAGACTGCTCACTGCAGTATTTTTCAAGTCAGAATATTATGTTCTCTATCAAGGTAAATAATTGTATTGAGCTATTTTCAGGAAGTTGGTTTCTTGAATTTTCACTACAGTGTTTGTAGTAAGTGGGAATTTTACTGGGATTTCAATAAGAAATAGTCCATTTAATATTTTCTTTTGATTCTGTGACAGCTGCAAAAATAATAGGGTTCTAACAACAGGTTTTGCTCTGCAGACTAAAACATCAGATCTCTGGACCAGAAAATATTCTTACTTTAGCATTTGACAGCAATCAATCAAGAGCAAGAGATGATTATTCCTCTTGAACACTAAAAGCACCATGATGTGTAAAAACACTTTGTGCAGGTGTTTTGGGTTTATTGTTTTCACAAGCTGCACTTAGAGTGAATTTTCTTCATGTTTGATCAAGTGCATTTGTTGGATAAACTTTGCAATGACATTTCTTTTAGGCAAAGCAATATAATGGCAATGACTCATTGTGCAAATGAATTCTTATTTTTCAGACTATGATCTTTCAAAGCTGAGGGAATTCATTGATCAGCAAGCTGATGCTTATGTGGACAAGGGCATCCTGGACAAGGAGGAGGCTGATGTAATTAAACGCATCTATGGCAGCCTGTAAAAGTTAGTGGCTGCCAGACATGTAGAAAACTAGTCTAGTTTCCCCCACTCCTGGCTCAGTGACTTATGATCTGTTAATTTGAGGATATCACTAGAAATGCTCTGTTTACATTGTACTGACAACTTCCTAGACAGCAATGAAGAGCTGTAGTGCTCCATTCACCCTCTGCATCCTGTATTTTCCTACATTCACAAATCAACCCTAAACACCAAATTCTGACAGTGAATTTCTATTGGATAGAGTCAATATTTCTGTAATGCTCTCTTTGATTTATTATTTGTGTTTGGTTTACTTTTGTAGATCAACCAATTGTTTCTGATGGAAAGTTCTTTTCATGCTACATCTTTTTGCTCACACTCAACAAGCTTTCTATAGATGCAACTATGTAAAGGGCATTATTAGAAAATAGTTCATAGTTCTCTAAATAAAATATTTGAAAATTATTTACCTATTAAAGTTTTCATTAATCTTAATATTATTTTATATTCAGAAATTTTGTGTTTAAATCTTAGTATCTTTTATTTGATCCTTTTTTATTTCTTTATGTAGTATCCTGTAATTTGGACTGTAGTGTCCTTAGCTAACTGATAAATCTTTGACATTACCATTGCCTTTCATATTACAGAGCTGTATTCTCTTCTTCAGCATGTATGAACATTCTCTTTGGTGCACCATTTGATGATTGTGCATGCATAATTAGTTGAATTCCTGATGTGAGTATCCTGATAGCAAGTGTAAATAGCTGTTACTTTCTCTAAAGAAAAAAAAAAAGGAAAGCAATTCAAGTTATTTTGCATGGAAAGGGAAGTTTGCAACTAGAGATGTTTTTAGGAACATGGGCCTTGCTTTTCAGAAAGACTCAAAGAATCTATCATATCTCAGTGTCTCTGAATATCAAGGCTGTGGTCTCTTTACTGACCTCTGCTCTGTGTTGAGCAGTATCATCCTGTAAATTTTCTTTTTTTTTTTTTTCCCTATATATGTTGTCATTATCCAAAAATTTGGTACTTCCCAATGGAAAAGGAAAACAAAAATGTCACCCTCATTCTTCTTCCTGAACTTACATAGTTTTGGAAGAATGGCTTATGGGGTCTTTTGTCTTTAAGTGAATGGATAATTTTATATATGAAGAACTCATAAAACAAGATCAAAGGTAAGGAAGTTTTTAGAAAGGGAGATTTTAACTGAGTTCCAGAAGATGTAATTCCTGAGACTTATCACCTGCAGCAGTTATTTGTGTAGATGAACTCCAGGAAAACCCTGTTCTCTTTACTTACAGATTCTTCATTGATAATTGAGGTTACCCCTCTCTGATTTTTTTAACACTTTATGATATCTCTGAGATTGATACAGTTAAAAAATGTCAGCTGATGCAGAGGTTGGAATCTGCCTGCAGTGAAGGGAGATACTGACTTACAGCACTGCCTGCACAGCACAAAGTTCTCTAAATGTTAAAACACTTCCTTGGGTCATTTCCCTTCTCATTTTCTTAGCATAGCTGGAGATTAGGGAGGAAGAGATTTGAGCAATGAAGTAAACTCTGGAATCCCTGAAAAACATAAATGATCAACTGATTATTGATAAATTATCAGTTGATAACCAATGTTAAGTGAATGTGATGGTAGTGAGGTATAACAGCATAACTCTTTGCAAACTGATGACACATAAGCCAGTGAAAGGTTTCTGGCAGACAGAGTACGTCACTGCCTGCTCACACACATCCTGATATGAATCACTGAACTGCAGCATCAGTCACTAATGGTGATTTTTTTTTTTTTAAGGCAAAAACTGTATCCAAAAACGTAGTCAATATAAGCTTCCTCTTTAAAAAATAGTCCCTTAGGAACTCTAGAGAAAATAATTAGGGAAAAGAATTCCTGTTATTCGGTGTATTTGTTCTCATTCAAACCCTCTAATTTGTTTATTGTTATTTGCTAATGTTCCCAAAGATCCAAATTTCTTGTCCCTGTGGATCTCAATTTTGTTCTGCAACAGCTTGTGACTTATTTTCCTATGTGACTATCACACAGGAAAAGCAGACTGATTCACAAATATGGATTTTTGAAAGAAATCAGGAGAATGGTAACTAACTGTAGACCTTTAAAGCAGTGATCAAGGATCTGCATGTGAAAAAACAAAAAAGGACAAACTTTTCTTCCCCAATGGTTACTTTAAAAAAGACCCCAAATTTTCTTCTCCTGTCAATATAATGAGTAGTATAATAATATTTTCAATTTTCATTGTAAGTTAGTTTCTTACTTTGGTCTCTCATGAGTCTGGTACTAACAGGAAGATGTCATCAACTAGTGACCTGTGATTATGAACAGTATGTGTCCATGAAAAGGGTGGTGCCATATTTGTTAATCTCTCAGTTTTGCAAATTCTATAACTTCAACAAAGTATCAATGACATAATTTAGAGAAAAAAAAGTCCCAACAATGGGTATGAACCTGATTGTATTTCAGAGTATGCATGTTCTTGGACTGTTCTTACACTGCTGCTGTGCATCACTTGGGGTACACACTTAGATAATTGGACCAACCTGACGAGTAGCTGAGAACAGGGAAGCCTCTGATGGATAAACCAGGAATCCCAGCTACGGTTCCTCAAATTAGATTCACTTCCCAGCCTGCCCAAGCCCACTAAACTTGTCATTTGAATGCTTCACATAGTGGTTTCATTGCTGGTACATTGGATGAACATCTATCAGCACATCACACCTTTCAGAACTAGACGGTGAAAACCCAGCCAGCCTGATGAATCACCCTGCATTTCTAAGGGGCTGTGACTTGTGCTAAATAAAATCAAACCAAGTGACGCAGGTTTCAACCTGCACTACAGATCAGTCCTTGTTTTTCTGGGAACACTTCGAGCACATTAGGACTGGACATCCCCTGCTGATGTGTTTAGTCCATAATTAGTAAATCTAATTATTGCATTCTTCCTGATGAGAAAGGTATCTTCAACACCTGCATGTCTCTGGTTCTAAACTGACAAAAATCGGTTTCTGTGTTGTTTATATCTCTGCTGGATCCTTCAGAAATCCTTCACTCCTAAATTATCACTGAAAATGTAACAAGTACAATATATATGGTATTCACCTTTTGAGCTTTTCTAATAGACTATTGTTTCTGATACTGTACTTTATTAAACACTTTACTACAAGCTACATTAGTGTGCTGGTTTTGGCTGGGATAGAGTTTATTTTCTCCATAGTAGCCAACATATGTTTTGGATTTGTGCTGGAAACACAAATGTGTTGATAACACAGAGATGTTTTAGTTTCTGCTGAGCAGAGCTCACACTGAGCCAAGGCCTTTTGTGCTCCTCACCCCACCCCACCAGCGAGGAGGCTGGGGGTGCACAAGAAGCTGGGACACAGCTGGCACAGCTGACCCCAGCTGACCCCAGGGATATCCCAGACCATGTGGCACCATGCTCAGTGTATAAAGCTGGAGAAGAAGGAGGAAGGGGTGGGACATTGAGAGTGATGATGTTTGTCTTCCCAAATAACCGTTACTTGGGATGGGGCCCTGCTTTCCTGGGGATGGCTGAACACCTGCCGGCCCATGGGAAGTGGTGAATGAATCCCTTGTTTTCCTTTGCTTGTGTGCACAGCTTTTGCATTACCTCTTAAACTGGCTTTATCTCAACGTGAGTTTTCTCGCTTTCACCCTTCTACTCATCTCCCCCATCCCACTGCAGGGGAGTGAGTGAGTGCCTGCGTGGGGCCAAGTTGCCAGCTGGGGTTAAACCACAACAAGCAGTACACGGTTGCTGTTGTGTGCTAAGGAGAATGCATCTTTTCTATCCCCTGCCCAGCTTTTTTTAAGCTATCCTGCACCATGGAGCAATAGGAGTTCATCTCAATGCAGGAAGGGGTGGGACACCGCAGGGATGCCCTTCTGAGAATGCTGGGTGCAACTACAGAACCTGGTGGCTGAGTTAGCTGGATTTACAGGGGTTTAGTAGCCTCTAGCCACGTTACAACTGAGTCCCAAGTGTAAACTTTTTATGAGGTATGTCCCACATATTTCATTTGAAAAGATCCTAGTCCAAGCGTGCCCAGGTTTTGACTTTTCAAGCTTTGATTGAAGAAATATGTAAAAACAGAACTTCAAACATGCAAGTTCCTCACCACAAAATAGCTGCAAAACATAGAACTTTATCTGCACTAAGTGCTTCACTTTTGCCTGAAATTGCCCTGTTCCAGCCATAAACGACACCTTGCAGGACTGGTAGAAATATAGAAACAAAGAATGAAGCTACAAGTGTACCAGGCATAAAAGCAGAGTGGGAAGCAAAATATACGTGGTAACAAATACAAATACATAAAAAGTACAGACAAATATGTCACTTTGTTAAATAATAACATGAAAATGTGGATTAAGATATTAAAACATTAGTTATTCCAGAGTCTTAACTCTTTTTAAGAGTAGTAAAGCTCCACGTTGAATCACTCTGAGTGTATTGCAGACGATTTCCAGGCAGTTTCCTCTTGCCTGCCCAGCTCTCCCCGGGCCCAGCCGCCGGCAGCCATGATGAGTCGCCAGTGAAGGAAAGCAATTCCTAAAAATATTTTACCTCTACTTAAAAAATGGGCAGTCGGTCTCCATATTTGCCCTAGGGATTATGACACACCACATCTATCTACCGGAAAACCTGTACTCTTTGCCCACACTGTGAGGGGCTGCCAGGACACAGAATCTGTGCAATTGGCGCTCAAGGAAAAGCTGAAGTGCCCTCAGGTGAGGAGACCCAGCCACCTGTGGGCTCATCAGTGCGCAGCTGAACCAAAGGCTCATCAGAGCTCCTACCCTGCCCACAAAGAGCAGACAGGCCCAGGGCAGAGGAGAGTGGCTGCTGTGGGGCCTGGTAAACAGGACTGGAAGAGCCAAAGATGGAGTGGAAGTAAAAGCTGGGGCTTCTCTGCCCAGCCCTGAGCACTTGGGGCACATGAAGGACATCTACGGGCAGGCGAGGAGTGGAGACCAGTGCTGGGGCGGCAGCAAGGTAAGGCTCTTACAAGTGTCCTTTGTGGTGGGCAGTGACAGCCCTGAAACCCTCCCTGCAGGAGGATGGTGTGTGGCACAGGTGGGTTGGGTGTCTCTACTGGTTTTGCACCAAATGCCGTGTTGTGTGCCGGTGTGGAGGGGTTTCCAGGGAGCAGAGGTGCTGTGGGTTATCAGGGCACTGCTGAGCTGAAATCTGCCGTGTGGTTGCTGTGTCTGAGGGGCCGGGGGTGTGCTCAAGGGGCTCTGGTGTGTTCAGGCTGGCAGAGCTGCTTCCTCCTTTCCTTCCCTTCTGTATGGCTTTCTCAGTCAGGGAAAATAGGTGTATGTGGTGTGAGGGACTGTTTGTCCTGAAGGCTCTGCAGCCCACTGGGAGGGCCAGAGTGAGGTGTCACTGCCAGGAGCTCAGTCAGCGCTGGGCAGGAGGGGCAGCACTCACTGGGCCAGGACAGCTGTGTTTCTGACCTGCTCAGCAAAGCACCCTGGTCCTGTGTGTGCTGGATGGGTGGGGTATCACAATAGCAGGCCCTTGGTAGAAAAGGATTAAATTTTTCTGTAGGATTATAAAATATAACTGGGCTTGAAGCTAGGGTTCCCTCTGGAAAAGCAGTTCATTCTGGCTTCATAATGTCCTGAAATTAACTGACAATAGAAGTTACTACCCTGTGAGGAATAAATAAAAATCCCAATTTAAGAAAGATACAAGACTTAAAACTAATTCACCAGTCTCTTCAAGAAAAATCAGTGCTTCCTTTTATTCACTCTGGGCTTTCTCTGTTCTTGTTAATTTGTGTGCCACTGCAGACCTCCTCTTTAGGACCAGAGCTGGAGTTGAGCTGAATGAGCCTGCCAGGTCTGAGCTCCTGCCAGCTCTAGGGAAATACCAATTCCTGCCAAGCTTGGAGTTTTTACTTCTGGTTTTAGTAAATCAATGAAACTTTCTATATTGTTTCTCTCTTAACGTACTGCAAAAGGGTTTTGCTTTGAGGGAATGATAAATTATATTGATGAGCAGAAAGATAGGAAACTGCATCTGTCACAGTGGGGATCCAGCAAGTCTTTAATGATGGGAGTTTTGTGAAGCTTATTGAATACTTGAGGAAAACATTTAGGATGCCTAATAAGAAGTTGCTAATACACTAACTTTGGGGCAAAGAGTGAATGCAGGCTGCATTCTGCCTATTCTGCCTTCCTGAGCTTCAGGTGAGGTCTACCTGCAGACTTGAACACTGGCATTTCTTCTCAGAACAGGCTTGTCAGGGTGGCTCTTAATAGTTTTCATCTTTCTTATCCTAATACTTTTCTTGACTGCACAACTAGAGAAAATAGCTCTTACAGGTCTCATTGAAGAGGGTGAGTTATATGGTAAAGGTAAAGGACACTATTTACCCTGATATTAGTATCTAATAGTTCATATAACTAGACAAACCATTCTTCACACAAAACAGGCTAGGACCAAGCTCACTGCATTATGAACAGACACATCGGTGTTTTTGTATTTTATTAAATTAAACCCACACAAAATATAACTGCACACAAGAACACACATCTGATATTCCAATGTCATATCTCACAAAGAAAAATCTCTGGCTGTAACTCGTCCCTTGTATTAGCAGAAATCCAATTTGCAAACAGTTGTTTAACCATAAAGGCTTTAACTCATCAAAGCAAGTTGAATTCCCCTTTCTAGGAATACATCATAACCACACACAGACACACACACAGAGTTCAGAGGCAAGTTCTGCAGCCCTGAAGTAGACAAAACTTTCACAGCAAACTTGCCTATGTTTGCAGAATAAGTAAATTCCTATTACTTTCATAGTTTGTCATTTACAAGCAAACTTTAATATTTTTAAATACTTAAAACAAATTTCACTTTAACAATTATTTACAAAATCTTTACTAAAGATCAACATCCTGCATAAAGGTGACCTCAAGGATATATTGTTGCTACCATGCTACAGTTTGCACTGAAGGGGTAGAAAGGCCATTACTAGTTTTGGAAGGCTTAAACCCTTTGTTGATATAGCATAAGGACATTAACCTATGGAAGGCAGAAGAGGTCATCATTTCAGTGCAATTACCCATTCGTGACTTCTTTTAAGTACATCAAGATGATGAGTCCAAAAGACTTGGGTTTTGAATTATTGACTGTTTAGTTCTTTAAGAACTGATTTCATGGGAAGTTTTCAGGCCATCACATCTGTCTTCTACTGGTGATATGAAGAAGTTGCATAGGGACCTTCCTCATCCTCCTCCTCTCTAAAAAGAAAATGATTATAATCATCAGGTCAGGAACATACAATGTCTCAACAGTAAAGCTGTAATTAAAATGCAGGTAATCACTTTTCCTAATGGATCAAATTAAGCAAAGCCTTGCCCAACAGGAATACTTGCAGTATAATACTGTTAATTACACATCTCTAGAGTTCCTACGATGCTTAAAGAACAGAATGCTGAACACAAGTAAAGCTGTGTAAGTTCAGCAACATCAGAAAGTACTGTTCTTGACACTACATTGCCAAATCAATAAGAAATACTGTAAAGGATAAAAAAAGTGGAGGGCATAATGGAATTCCTGTACTGTTGCTCTCAATTTCTTATTTTACAAAATAAGTTTAGTTAGAGGTTTGTTTCAACCTTTTGAATGGCAGGGGTACAGATGGACCAAATGAAGCAAGAACAGGAGCTGTAGCTGGATCTGTGTCTTGCTGCTGCAAGGACATTCCTTGAGTGGGCTCCCTGATTGATGCTCCTGAGCATCAATCACCATGGAGAATCATCACTTGGATTTTCTTAGGAAAAATAGTCCTCCCAAAGTGTTATTGTTAATGCAATGACTGGACAATGGTAAATAGTGTTGCTGTTAAAATATCCTCAGGAAAAATCAGTCTGCCTGCTGTTTACTTGGTTGCCTTTAAAAAAAAAGTGGTTATGTAAACCTATTGCAGTGCAGCATCCAGTACTAACTCAAGCATTCCACGTTCTCCAAAGATCGTTGGTTTGTACTACTGTAGCTTCAAAATTTTGTTCCTGAGAGTCTAGTCTAAAAGCTGCTGCCAATTTTAGTGTTTTGGTGAGAACAGAAAGACTTTACAGTTGCTACACTGTGAGCTTCTAAGGATTACTTTTAATATTGTATGTGCCTTCATACAAAGGTACAGTTATTCCAATAGTCTAATAATGATATGAGGTAAAAATTAAATATTTCAATATCAAAACCCTAATCATGCTTTCCCTAATAACTTTTAAACATGATTATTTATCTACAACTGAAATTTCATACAGCCCCCCAAAATAGAATCAGAGAGAACTCTACAATCTAACCAAGCAGCTGAGTAATTTGCACTCATTTTCCCAGCAAAAGTATTATCTTAAGCCAAAGGCATAATATTTCTTTTGCCTTGAAGCAATCTTTTCAAAAAAAGAAACCTCAAAAAACCCAAGTTTTGGATGAAACTGGTAGTTATTGCAGGGACATGTGGTTACAGTAGTACTGTGAACAGATTTTTAGCCATTCTTACAAATACATCTGTTTACATTAGTGATGCTCCAGAACCAGTATCAAGGATGATCTTAAGATACAGATGACATGTGTACAACACTTAAGTAACATCCTTCCTTACATAATCAATGCTGCATACAAAACTGCCAGGGAATACTATCATTTGCAGATACTTTCCATGACACCTGGCATGACAGTAAAGTAAGGAAGCAAACAATTCATGTTTAGTTGAATAAACACTAAAAACACCTCAGACCTGTAAGTTCTCTCAAGACAACACATCTTAAAATGTTTTTCAGAACTGAAACCTATCCACATACCAGACCTGTAAGACTGGACTGCAGGACTCTAAAATTCAACCATAACTACTTGGCTGAAGCTAAATATTTCAAAAAGTGTATTCTGAAGCTCTGATATATGCTCTTCTGGGGCACTGTGTTTCTAGCCACATATGCCTGGAACTTAGTTACAAGTTACAACAGAGACTAACAGTCTCCTGTTAGTTTGTGTGAGGATGAAGGAGAACCACTACGCTTTCAGAGCTCAGACTGTCCAGTGGGGGAGAACTTATTTTCTATGTTCCACACTGGAAATTACTTTGTACTGCTTAGCTTTGTTATATTTCTCCTTTCAGGAAAATAAAATATGGCAGTGTTACAGCAAAATGATCTTCCTTCCAATCAAAGGCTAACAGAATCAGCCTTTCAATCATTCTTCTTGAAAGCCTTAATATAGGAATAACATACATAATGACATGGCAACAGCCAAACACTGGACTGAAATGAGCTGCAGTTGATTATGGGTGAATATAGACAACTGAAGAACTGAAATACTGATGTTATATTAGCAGGTCTTCAGACATCCAAGTAGCAAAAGCATTGTCTAGGCTCTTTGTCCCCACTTCCCTTGTGCAATGTGGACTATGGGCTCTCAGATGTCAGCAGAGGGCAGAAAGCACTGGGGTTACAGCTAGTTTTGAGGGGCCTCTGTGCATGGCAGGGACATAAAAACTATATAGTAGGTTGTTATGCTTGAACTGAGGCAAAGCAGTGACTGGCTGTAAGGTGCAAAATACATTTCTGACCATGGCTTGGAACTGCTGCTGCAGCTGCCAGCAAGGGTGGGCAAGAACAGCTTCTGCCCTTCTGTCTCAGGCTGCAGGACTAGCCTGGGAGGTCTGCAACACTACTCCAAACCACAGTAATGGCCAGGGAATATTACTAATGTAGATCTTAGAACCATGCATAGCAAGTACAAGTCTGTTCTGATGGCTTAAAAACAAGCTGAGCTTTATATAAAATAAAATCTTATGTGGCCCACAGGCACCAACATGGCAGTGTGTATCTGCTTAACGACCAAACAATTTTCTTCACTTTTAAGATGCCTAAAATAGCAGAGTGGTAAGTCACTCTAACATTCTCCTTCAGGGAATGGAAAAGGAACAGCACAGCATTAAAACACTGCAGTGCTGTCCCCTCCCATTTGCTGTCTCCGCTTTGCCCAGCAGGATACAGGAGCTGAAAGAAGTCTCCTCCAAGCTGTGGTATGTATCAGGCACAATCAACCACTTTCTGTAAGGGCAAACACACCTGAGTGTGAACAAATAAACTCAAATGCTTGGATGCTTCTAGAACGCACAATTAAACAAGGCAGCAATCTGAGCTGTTAGTTAATAGGCTTCAACACCCTACTCTTTCCTCCACTCAGGTCAAGGCAACTGAGTAAGTGACAGTATATGGTTGTGTTCCTGTGCTGACACCAGTTATATCAGCTCATATAACCAACTGTGATTAGAGTGGCTCTACTCAGTTACAAGGTTTTCAAAATGAGCCACTAAAAGGCAAATGCAGAAAGATGTGACCTGTCCCACAAGCATAGTATATGGCCTCAGTGTTCTGGTCTACCACAGTATCACCCTAAAATCTTAAGGACTTGCATTAGACATCTGGGGTTCAACTACCTGAGACAAAAAGCATAACTAAACTTATTTTCAGTTTTGATATCCTGAAGCATGCATAACAGCATTTGGGGCTGTTATGAAGATGAAGCACCACCATATCTTCTATTACGTTGCTTTTATTTCACATGTGGATAAAACTGAGTATTCTTCTCTAATATGCAAATACATGAGTTAGCAACATATGCTACAAACAACTATATTAATCCTTTCACCTTTCTTTTGGCCTATTATAAAAACACTGCTCGAAGCAAAAGGGTTTTATTGCTTGAACTGCATCCTGGGTAAATATGCATGATCAGTGATTCATTAGCTAATGATTTCTTACTCAATGGAACTCTAGTAGAAGTCATATTGCATGTAGATCTATCCATGTGCTTACATAAACTGTAACAGTGAACGGCAGCTGGCACAAACTCAGTGGATCACATTCTATAACCTTTAATGCTTATCTACTTGCACAGCTATTATAGTTTAGTATCTAGTCTAAATCTGCAACTATGTGCTCCTCAACATTTCTACCTAAAAGCAAGAGGTTTTAGCTGGAAAGTAGCTGACTTCAGAGGTTAATATACTTTATTCCTTTGAAAGCACTTAAAGGAGTGACTTCAAGAGTTGTGATTAAAGAATGTAACTCACCTTAAGCTGCTTTTGTAGCACAAGGTAGTTTCTGACTACATAAAACAGCCTTGTGTGGTTTAGTCTGAGTCAGTGCATGTATGCACATGTATTCTTGGCAACTTAGGGCGATCAAAGTAAAGAGCAATTAAACAGACGTTGTGGTTCTCACAATCAGTCAGATCAGGCTCACTGTAGGGTGAGAAGTTATGGCTCTTTAAGTTCTCAAACCGATAGTCTGCTTCTGCTTGCAGTTGCCTTAGTTTCATATCACTTTTGGTGGCAGCAGATTAACTTCAGGTGCTCCTTTGTTACTCTCAAACAGGCACTGAAACACGGCAGTGTTGGCACACGTCACATTCTAAGCAGGCTTTGACAAGGCAACCCTAATACAGAAGGCCAGAGCAGCTGGAAACAGCACTTTAACTTCATAAATGGCTTTCACTCTAATAGAAAACTTGCATATTCATGAGGTTGCTTTACTATCATGGCTCTCCATTTTTCAAAGGCTTCCTGCTCCAAGCAAGGGACAAGAAAGGTCTGGGCAGGAAGGAGAACAGGTGCCTCCTGGGACGTGGCTGGGACACAGTAAGGGATGTTGCCACCTTCCAGTCTGGGTCCAGAAACACCACTGATGGTACATAGCTGAAAAGTATCTCCAAGGCTTTTGGCAATGGTGTCTTTCTACTCCTGCTGCCTGCAAGGAATAAACATTCACTTTGGTCCTCTGCCCCTTCCTGTCTGACTGTAAAGGGATCTGTCCTTTCCAGCTGTGTTGGAGAGGACAAGGCAGGGATGGCTTTTGTGGGCCATGACTGAAAGCTGGATGTGGTGGGGTAGAAGGGAACATTGTGAAGACTTCGTCAGATGCACAGGAAGCTATTTCTCTTCAGAAGCTTTGGGTAACATCCTGTTCAGCAGAGAGCCTGCAGCTCTGTATCTCATGTGTCCTGTAGCGTCCTGACCAACAAAAATTGTGCTCTGTGCATAACTAACAAAATTCTCTGCTAAATCTGAACAGGAGGTAGAAAAGTAACTCATTCTCCTGTAAACATTATTTCTTAGGAGGAAATGTGGTACCAGGCCCCCATTTCCCAAGTTGTAACTTAAGCAATACAGGAAATGGATATTAGTAGCAGCAGTGCACTATTTGTGTGATGTTGCTTTCACTGTATTGGCTCTGCTCACAGGGCAGCAAGGTCTGAGAGAATTTCCTTCTGTAAATTAGCATGTTATTTTGTTGAAGGGATGTTAAAATAATTGCCTTTCTGTGGCAGGGACTGTGGTTTCCTGTCACACAGTTTAACTGCTGGGTCAACACCTCTAGTCTGTGTTAGGTACATACATCTAATGATCTGAAAGTCAGCAGCAGCACATTTTGATAGATGCTCTACATGGCTTCATATGTAACAATGGAAGTGGATGAGTTTGAACAGAGAAGGTTCTGACCTCCAACGGCAATTTTTCCTGAAAGGTTACTTTCTGCTTAGTGTGAAAAGTATGTTGCTTGCAATATCAGTGCTCTGCAGTCACACCTTTCATTGTCATGGGAAAGGCCACCTGAGCGTCCCCCACTGAGGTGATTTCTGAAGAGAATAAACAGGCAGGGAGCCAGCCCAAGAGGCTGCTTGTGACCAGGCTGAGGAAGCTTGTCCCACGGACATGGAGAACAAACACTACTGAAGTCCACTCTTGCTCTTAGTCTTTCTGTGCTCTCCATGGGATACCTACATATGTGAGGGGATAACCACTGTGGCAGACAGGACAGAAAATCCTGTTTTTTCTATGAGTGAATGTGGGGGAGCTCCTGGCTGTAGAAGAAATACTGAAGAAAAGATGACATCTGCACAGGTGGATCCACAAAGGGAGAGACTGCACAGGGAAAGGTGATAGGATAGCTTAACTGAAACTGCATTATGGAGCATATTTACACAATAATGAGGCAATTTGGGACAGAAGAAAAATGAAATCATGCCTTGCTGTACACATTCAGCTTCCACATAGGACTACTGAAAACTATGGCTTTGTTTAAGTAGTTACCCTCTTAGACAGCAAGGCATCTTGGAGAAGACTGCCCTTCCAGCTTTTATGAAATATTATTGCTATTCTCTAACCATGTATTGTGAGGCAGCCTTTCCAACTGCCATATCAAGGCACCTGCTAATGCTGTGCTTTCAATGTATCTGGTGCGTGATAATAGCAGAGACTTGTTGACAAACTAAAGCTGCAGATGCTGTCTGAGGCCCCACACAGAGGGTCCAGCCTAGGCTAAAATGCCTTCCGGGTGAGATTAACATGCTTAATACCAAAAGAGGCATTTACCTGACATTGTCATCTTTTAGTTTTCTGGCTGCTTGTTTGGATAACTTAATCTGCAAGTCCAATCTCTGTAGGAAATCTTTGGCAGATAATTCTTCTGGTGCAGTGGGCTGACTGTCAGGCTCTTGAGGACTGGGAGAAGAACTACTTTCTTCCTGAACTGTTACTAGTCCTTCATCACAAGAAGGGGAGCTGTCAACAGTTTCATTCTCAGGAGACTCCAGTGAACTAAGTCCATTGAACAGTAATGGTTTCTCTGATACAACAGGAATATTCAGGGTTTTCCTCAGAAATATACAGTCATTAGTGAACAGTTTATTTGCCCTCTTTATTTGTTCCATCTGAAAAAGATAGGAAAAATGTAAGTTATTAGGTTTTGGCAAAGTATAAAGTACTAACTTTCTAAAGTAGTACAATACCCTTTACTTATAATAAATCTATACTTTCTTTGCAGCAGCAATGACTTCAGGAAAGAGTCTGTTTGCATTCAAAGTGATTTCAGAGTGCATGCTCTGTTTTAGCCTTGCTAACATCCTAGCTTCTTTCATGTAGACTTGACTCCAAAATACTGCTTTTTCTAAAGTCTTGCACTACCTGAAGATGCTTTTCTTGAACAGTCTTCCAGTCTCTAGACAGGCTCACATGAACAACCTGCCAAAGAATAAAACTTCTGCTGCAAAAGTACTGCTGATTTGGATTTATATTACAGTAAGGCTCAGAACTGCTAGCAGCTGCTGCAGGTGAACCCTCTGGTAAAAGCATGCAGAATCCAAATAAGGGGCAATGAAGTTACCTTGAGGATTCTAGGACATGTTAGTTACGAACAGTGAGCAACACAAGTCCTAGAAGAGCAGTATATGCCTCATCCCCCCAGCTGATGTAACACATTCAGACTTCATATGAAGTCCTGATTTTCAGTGAGGAGTCAAGCAGTGAAAAGAATGGGGGACTCTTGTACACTGTCATGCAGCTGCACAGACCAGTGGCTGCATTTGTTCAGTGAATTGAATCTGCAGCACCTTCAACAGCAACCTCATGTGTGTGATAACGTGCCTGGTAACAGCCACCACATGCCTGTTACATACTTTTTATGCTGCTTTTACCCAAGATTGCCTGTACTAATGAGTAGGTTGTGACAGAAGCAACCTTCTTTCTCAGCACACTAATGCATAAAACTCCCTTGTTCTATAGTTAATCTGAGAAGCTATTATAAATTCCATTGCTTGACAGGCGAAGGAAAGCTCCCAGTAAATGTTTATACTGTATCCCTACTAAAAATGTTTAAGTTCTAACTCATCAAAATTTCTCTTCTAAGTCAACAAACTAACTTCCTGTTTCTCAACTGCAAGCTTTTAAAAAGCACAGAATTCTGTATCCATGATTATGTGACTTTATGCTTCAGTTATAACCTGAATTCGTGATTTCATTAGTGAAAGTTCTAAGTGGAAAAAAAAAATTACCATTCTGGTCACCTGGTGACTGTAATAAGCAGAAAATCCCCAATCTCTACAGTACTGCAATCATAAATGCCCTCTAAATAAAACTTGCTTGAAAATAAGTATAAAGAGAACAGAAAAAAACCTCGTGCTTTCATTAGAACTGTTAATTATTTTTACTGAACTACATGGAGCTAAAGTGAATAAGAATAAAGACTGTAAGTCTTGTCATAATAGGAGTCTTGCTGCTGGCATAATCACTCAGAGCTGAGTGCTCCAAGTACTAGCCACTTGCTGCTTCAAAGTCTGAGTATCTAGAGTTCAGTGCTCAGATGATGAGAAAATTGCTCCATCATCTTATCCTTGTCAGTCTTAAAACTCTCTTAAACTTTGGCACTACTTGGAGTCCTTCCCAACTGCAAAAGAAAAGACCACTGCTACCAGATAACTGGCTTAAACATGCCCGTGCATTCCTCACACTGAACATACCAGCAGGGGAACCTATTTGGATCCAAGGGAACCTACTGCACTCTGCATGTCTGTGCAGATGTGAGACTGTGTGGCCACTTCCAGAACTCAAGTCAGCTACTCTATGCAGTGTAGACCTGTACTGTGCACTAAAAGAAAGTATCTGCTGCAGTGCTGTTATAGAACTGGTGTCCTGCATGGATGCATTTGCTTGGGTCCTGGAAACCTGATGAAATCTTTCTCCCTAAAAGTAAATAGGATTCTCTCTAGAAAGGACAGGTGTATGGGAAGGTAGTGAAAACAGTGCAGTAAAGCTCAGCAGGAAGTGATTTCTACCTGTTAAATATATAAAAAAAATGTATTCTCTGGTTAAAGATAACCCCAACCTGTTGATGCAGATGGCTAAAATGACGAAATGCTTAGATTTAATAATGCCATTCAAAAACTGAATAGCTAACATCTGGTGACTCACACTAAGTTACTACAAGTAAGAGAAGCTCTCTACCAACTCTTGAAGCTTGGAAGCTGTTTTTAGTTAGGCTCATACAGTAGAGGGTAAAAGTTCTCTCCCAAGCTGAGCACCATCTGAAGGGCAAAAAGGAAGTTTCACCCGATTTAGTCATGAGACCTTATAATGGCCCTAGTATGAATGTCAACTGTTAAAATTTCTAAAAGCTGTCTGTCTGGATGGGTGTCAAAAATGTTTAAAATACTAGCTGGAGCTATTCTCTAATACAATACAGAAGCTGAAAACTGAGATCTTTACTGCAGGGGAGTTGGAAGGTGATGCTTTGATAGCTGATAAATAATGCACTGTACTGCTATTCTCTCTTCTACTTCACTGTAATTCTACCTCTGGTTATTTCTTACTAAAGTACCACCTCAGGGCATTTGGAAGACTGTGTCCCTCTGAACTGAGTACCAGTGAAATGGAAAGTACTTGGTTCTAAAAAGAACAACCCTCAGCCTTGAGTAGGTTATTTCATATGTGCAATATATAACTCCTAAAGTCAGTATGACATTCATAGGCGTATGGAGAACAGAATTTAACAAGAGCTTTCTTTTTTTAGTGCTAGGAAGACTGAACTTGGGTCTGTTAGCTACAGATCTATCACAGTGAAAGAGCAAAAGCTGTAGCACGTGCTTAATACTTTAACTGAACCTGCACTAATGCATAAACTGGTGCTGAACTAAGTAATTAAAACTGCTTCTACTGACAATGAAACATAGTCCTCTTTCTTCTCCCCTCAAAAGAGATGCAGCACTTGCACTGAACCATAAATATGATACCAAACATGAATTCCCAGTGTTAATTTACCCGGAAGGAAGATATAATGAAGGCAAGTTGTAAAGACTAATAGCCAGTATCTGGGGGATGGGGTGAAGAGCAGAGCATGAGGCCAAACAAAGCACACTGATCTCTCTCCCCCAACGTGACATTTTCATCTGTCCTGCACTGTCTCTGCCAAGTCATGCCAAAGCAGGCATTGGACAGGATGTCTCTTGCTACAAAGTAACTCCCAGAGAGGAAAACCACAGGGGAAACTTCTAAAAACAGTGATACTGGAGGCAAGGGCAGCCAAAGATAATTCTGATGTTTTCATTACAGCAACTCCCACTCCTAGCCAAGGATACATGATGCAGGAAGCAAATGGAATGACTCTTTAGGGGAAGTGAGTCCTTGTCATTGTGTGCAACCACGATGTTCTTCATTTTGCTAAAAGCAAACACGTTTGCATACATTCCTACCCTGGGCTGAAACCCATTAAAACAGAAACACAATGGCTAATTTCACCAAACTTGGCACTGCTCTTAGGGACATTTCATGTCAGATTAACCTTTCTCAACTGAAATCTATAATGATGCAGCTCTGGTTTCTTAAGCACAATACTTACCAACACTAAATTGAGTAACCAATGACATGTTGGGGGAAAAAACCCCAATATTTATACTTTAAATGCATCATCAACACAGCAAAAACTTATTAAACTCATACTATAAACAAAGTTTATGGTTCATAACTTAAAGTTATTTGTACAGGTTTGATCCACAACTTCACTTTAGCTGAAAGGGGGTTTTAAATTGTTTAGAAATGACTTTTTTTCTGGAAAACTACTCTTTTAGTAATGTTTATATTTTTCACTTCTGAATGAGGGATAACGTGGCTAAATCATTTAGGCCAGAGACTTTATCCATAATGGAAAGTGCTGCCAAAAACAAAAAAGAAATCAAACATCCAATGTGCTGCTTTGCCTTCTTAGTGAGCAAAACTTCATTTTAATGTGGACCAGTGTAAGTCCAAAGTGTCATTAGCCCCGTTGCCAAAAAGAATCAGTCAAAAGTGGCGTAATCTTTCAAAAGGGAAGAGAAATAGACTTTTAACCCGTTCCACAACAAAGGTTGAATGCTATAAGGTGACAGAAGGCTTTAGTAAATCTTGCAGACCAAGAGAAGGAAAAGAAACTGTTCCAGTCAGAGCCTATTAGTTTGGGACTGTATTGTATCTCTTCTAGAAAGAGCCAACTGGAACGTGCTGTTTGCAGCTGATGTGAGTGTGACACACTGTGTACCAGTGCCATGCTCATCAGCTGCTTGGCCCCAAGCAATTCTGCATATTGGGACTACCAAAGATGCATATCAGTATAAGGGCCCCAAAAAAGCAGAGATGAAGGCAGAGTAGGTGAACTCTGGTCTGTCAGGAATGGTAGTGCTGGTAGACCCTACTGGACTCTGCATGTCCTCAGCTGCCATAAGCCTTTCAGCATTTTTCACAGAAATAAACTTTCTTGCTCCTTAGAAAGTAAGCAGAAAAGCAACACTTTCAAACCAGTGCCACTTGAGCCTCACCTCTGGGCTGGGAGGCAGATCACAAGGGAGGAATGTTTAGCCCTGAAGCTACCAGAAGAAAGTCTTTCCCCTTGTCACAGCCTATGCGTCAAGCTCAAAATAATGATTCTCTTCAAGATAAATTTATTTCTTTTTTAATCTGAAGCGAGTGTAGTAATGAATAGTTGCGTGGGTATAGGTTTCCTGGTGGAAGCAAGTGTGTGTCCTTTCCCAGGGATCTCTGTCCCATCCCGGGATCCCGGTGCTTGTCAGTTTGGAGCCGTGTCCTGGCTGGGGAGTGCGAACTTCAGCCCTTCGCCGGGTGCTGACCCCTCCGAGCAGGCCGTGAACTCAGATGTCACCATTTCAAATACCGAAACTAAAGCCAGAGCCGTACCACGGGGAGAACACCATTTTCTGCCCGCTGTGGGGGGGAAATGCTCTAAGGGACAAGTTGCTGTCCTCTCCCGGCTCGGGGCCCCACCACCGCTGCGGAGCCGGGCTGAGAGGGTGCTGAGGCACGGGCTGCCCAGGGATGCTCTGCACTCCCCATCCCTGCAAGCGCTCAAGGCCTGGCTGGATGGGGCTCTGAGCAACCTGGCCTAGTGGAAGGCACCCCTGCCCACGGCAGGGGGGTTGGAACTGGCTGATCTTCACGCTCCCTTCCAACCCAAACCATTCCATGGCTCCAAGCGCCGCTCCGGGCCCCTCCGCCCCTGTGTCGGCGCCAGCGGCGCTCCCTCCCTTACCGTGACGCCGTACTTGAGGGCGATGCCCTGCAGCGTGTCCCCGGCGCTCAGCCGGTGCTCCACGTACCGCTCTGCCAGCGGGGCCGCCACGCTGGCCGTGCTGCCGTACGAGCGGGCCTTGGTGCGGGCGAGCCGCTGCGACAGCTCGGCCTCCGACTCGGGCCCGCCCGGCGGCTCCTGGCGCAGCGCCTCGGCCATGCTCCCACCCCGCGCTCAGCGCCCGCGGCCCCGCGGCCCCGCCACCCCGGGCATCGCCCCGGCACCGGCCCGGCCCGGCGGCACCGCAGGACACGGCCCCGGCTCGGCCCGGAGGAGGCCCCGGCGCGGCCCCGCCCGGCGGGGAGAGGCCGCATGCGCGGGGCAGCGCCCGCCCAGCGGCGGCCGGGCCGGGCCGGGCCAGGAGGCCCCGGCGCGGCCCCGCCCGGCGGGGAGAGGCCGCATGCGCGGGGCAGCGCCCGCCCAGCGGCGGCCGGGCCGGGCCGGGCCGGGCCGAGAGGGAGGAGCGGGGCGAGGGCAGCGAGTGTGAGGGGCTGGCCTGGGTTGGGCAGTCTGCGTCACTGTGCAGAAACCCTCCAGAGGCACTCCCCGTTCGTCTTTGCCCGTTTGTGAAGGGGCCAGCGCAGAGCGCTGCGGGCTGTGGAGACTCCAACCCGCTGGAGTCTCAGTAATGCGGATTTTGTCATTGAGTCTGAGATGCGAAGAGAGAGTAAAAAGGAGTGGCTTCGGGCATAAGTGCGCAAATATGAAAGTGTAACTGAATGCTTTGGGTTGGAAGGGGACCTTGAAAATCGCTTTGTTCCAACGTCCCTGCCGTGGGCAGGGACACCTTCAACTAGGCCAGGTTGCTCAGAGCCCCGTTCCACCTGGCCTTGAACAGCTCCAGGGATGGGGCATCCACAACTTCCCTGGGCAACCTGTTCCAGTGCCTCCCCACCTTCCAGCTGCCTGTGCCTCACCCACCACTACAGTAAAGAATTTTTTTCCTAATATCTAATCTAAACCTACTCTCAATTTGAACCCATTCCCCCTTGTCCTGTCACTACGTGATCTTGCCTCATCTTTCCTGTAAGGTCCCTTCAGGTATTGGAATAACATTTTATATTAAAATTAATGTAATGACAGTGTTTTAAGTGGGTACTTCCCACCAAGAAACCTGTGTAAATTTTCTTGGAAAGCTGATTCTAACAAAAACTCTGTGTTACGTACGGATGGTGCACATTTGTGCATCCTGTACAGGCACGATATATACCAAAATACCAAGAATTGTCCAAAGTAACCTGCTCCAGGTGCCTGTGTTCGGGGCTATTGGTCAAGATGCCCCTCAAAGGTCACTTCCACATTCAACCAGGCTGGGATTCTGGGAAGTGTGTAGACGGAACATCTACTGCGGTGTAATTTTTTTTTTCTGGGAAGTCCTAGAAGGATAGACCTCTCTCTTAAACCTAAGCAAAAAAGACATGCATGTCATAACCTCAGCATTCCTCAGAACAGTATGTATTCACATAAGTGTTTCCAAAAATAAAATTCTTCAACCGACATAATATCTAGTTGTGGGGTTTTTAGATTATGTTCAGTGGGTGACTCATGGAGTTTCTGTAAGGAATACAGTGCAAAAATCCAGGCAGAGCTCACAAACGTTGCTACTCTGGCCACAAGTTTCCAGGCATAAATTAGGAAAATACAAAAGCTGCCCTGCAAGATGCACGAGTTGCTGATAAGGAATGACACATCAACACCCCATTATCACATGACAATCATGAACAGAGGAACTGTAAGCAATGCATAGGCAGATCAGGGAAGTACAAGAGACTCTATAAACTGATGGCAAGAAAATGTTCACTTTAATTTTTATGCAGTCTACAATAGATTTGGGAAGCTGGAGGCTCCCCTAGGGATGTGCAATTGAGTTTATATCAACTATAGAAGGAGATCACCCAACTGTGACACCTCAGTGCTTTCAATTCCTTGATCTGCTGAACTGGATCAGCAGTTCAGCTGTGACCCACCTAGCAAAAGAGCTGAGCTGCAGGTCAGCATTTATTAAAAATGTCTACTGTGTGTGCAGTGTGGAGCCATGGATCAGCTTCAGCCTTACGGCTGATTAATGGAAGTTGCAAACATCTGGATGCCTGCCTAGAGCTGGAATAACTCAGAAGAGTTGCTTCAGCTAAAGTGGCTTTTAGTAAAGGGGAGCTGCAGTTCAATAAAATGGAAATGTTGTGTAACATTAGTGATACAATGAGTTGAACATGCAATATCAATTAGTTTGAAAATGTGCTTGAAAGGTGCACTAATATTAGACAGTATTATTCCCTCTAATGTTATATTAAACTCTATATGCCAAGTGTGTGCAATACACTTTAAATCAGCTGTCACAACTCCGAGAACAGCAGAAGCACCCCTTGCATTAGTGTAAAGATACCATGGATATTTTAATGTTGAAAGATTTATTTTAGTAATAAACCTTTTCAAGGATATATGAGATTTTTTTTTCTTCCGGAGTTGCTGGACTGTCTTTTCCTTGCATCAGCAAATTGCGGAGATGCTTGTTTATTATCTCAAAATCCATATTATAGCCAGAGAGACATTTGGATCCTGGGATGTTGCCAAGATACTTGATCTGATTAGCTGTCTGCCTTTTTTCTACATGAAGTGAATACCTTCTGAAACAAACATTTAATTAGAAATTTGAGCCAGAACTTAAATTAGGTAACCCATCTTTTACCCGTATCTTTAATATGCATTCAAAATGAATTACAGAAGAAACTAGAAGTGTCTTGCTAATAACACTTCATTTTTAAGGAAGAAAATTGCATTACCATTTAAAATGTGGTGTCTAGGCTACTGAAATATCTTCATGGATTGGTCTGTGAAATAGTAGCTTCCCTGGGGTGTATTGGCCCTGAGTTGTGAGTTGCCAGCCCCCTGTCTGATCTTGGTAGAAGCTGGAGCTCACTTGCTTCACAGTGTCCCACTAAAAAGGGACGGAGTTGGTGTGGTGCAGACTGGCATTGTGCCAGCACTGCCAGCTGGGTGGGCTGCTCTGTGGCTGACTCCAGAGCAGTGAACAAGCTCCTCTGGCAGCCCCCAGGAGGGAAGGGTGCAGTGCTTACCTACTCCTCAAGGTGTGAGCATTCAATATCACAACATCAAACTTGCCACATTAGAAACAGTCCCTGCTATAACTGGGATTCTCAGTTCCCTGGAGCAATATTCCCCCTCCTGAACTCTGAATCAGCAGCTTATTGTGGGTATAAATATGTGGGTATTTCCTGATATGCAGGGGGGTTACATGGCAATTAGTTTGAGTTTATTGGTTTAATGGCTGATAATGACCTTCCTTGTTCAAGGAGTCTCTTGGCACTACTGACTCCCCTTCCTTTCTTTTTGTTCTTTCCTGTCTTTGCTGTTTCCTTATTACTGCATCTGTGACCTCTTTCCCCACAGTAGCTTCCAGTCTCAAGGAGCTGTACTTGCCCAAACTCATTTCTTGCTTTAAAATCAGTAGTGCAAGCATTGAAGTCATGTAACTGGGGGTTGGACTTGACACTCATCAGACTCACATGGGACAGAGGAGTTCACTCCTCTGAGTCATTGTCCCAAGGGTGGCTGCAGACATTGTAGCATCTGTTACTCACTTTGCCTTTGGGAGGTTATTGCTGCAGCTATAGTAGCTAGAAACATACTTTTAGAAATGAAAGCTTTAATCTCATAAAACTCAACTAAGCTTTATGGAGTGCTTGCCTGACCCAAGAGTTCCTTAGAGCTGAATCTGGAGAAGACAAAGTCCCTCTCTGCATTTTTTTTTTCCTTGGGGACATATTCGGACCTTGATAATACTAGTTTTACATTCTTACATAGAATCATTGTACAGGAATTGGATAATGACAGAAATGATGCATGGGAGCTAATATTATCGTATTTACTCATGCAACAGTGGTTAAAGGTAATTCTAATTAATTTTTCAGTTCAGGAATTGTCACTGCCTCTTCTGTCTTTATGAACTTGTTCTGAGGATGAGAGCTTTCCTTTCAGTAATGGTGCATGATAAATCTTCTAAATAACCAACAGTATTTGAGTCTGGACTACTTCTAGTTAGTATTGGATATCTAGCTGCCATTTTATCATTCAGAATCATTCATATCTAGATCAGTAAGTGCACCATGATCTTGATTTATTTTAGATATTACATGGTCAAGAGATTACAGTCAGCAATCTTCTAAAATAGAGATCAGTACCAAGTCAGTCTGGTTAAGGTGGGCATATGATTTAATGGCAAAGTAAGTAGAGAAGAGAATGCCTTCTGGCTAAATAAGCATTCTGTTAATGGTCACAGCTATTCATCACCTACTTTGCCAGTAAAGAAACTCAACTTGCTTACTAAAGGATTAAATGTAACAGCCAGCATTTCCTAACTTTGATGTTTATGATGATGCACGCCAGGGACATTACCATTTATAATAGTTGTACTGATGTAGAACAGGGATGTTTTAATTTCAGGAACAATAAAAAAGCTATCCTTGTGGGCTATATGTGTGGGCAGATTTGCACTAATTAGGATAGAACAGGGAAAAAGAAGGCTACCCTCTGGTAATGAGCCGTGCATCAAGCTCAACCGTCCACCTCTGCTCGTGTTGCAGCCTCTGACAAAAAAGAAGATGTAACATAGGACAAAGATCAGAGGCAAATCTTGCCTTTTAAGAATAATAGCCCTGGGTTCTTCAATTAATTGCAGCAAAGAGAGAGGGTCTTGCATGAATTTCAAAAGGAAAGTAGGATCATCTGAACTGATGAACGTTCCTTAAGCTGTGCACATCTTCCTCATCAAAATAAGCCCATTAAGTAGCAGGAGCAGCTGGGAGCCATTATTAATATTTAACGCTCCTAGCAGGGGTTACTGTGGGTTTCTGTATTAAGGTTACAAGACAATGTTGCAATATCATATGCTGTGGGTTTGCATTCTCAGAGCTTTGTTGGCTTTGTATAAAGCGCCAGTGAAGTTTTATTTATTCCTCTTCCCTGCCATTTGCAGAGGCTAAATATTTTTCTAATCAGGATTGTAGTGTGTGATTATCCATTCTTCACTGCCTCCAGTTTTACTTATACATCACCTGCTGACTTGGTAATGTGTGTTGCAAGTCCCATCCTGGTAGAAGCAACCTTGCACAGGAAAGGATGAAACTAGTTTGGGTCTCATAGCAAGGCCTGGCTTGTGCTATCACAGGTGTGTTCTGTTTCCTCCAACCATGTGGTTTTTGATGTGACCGCCTGGAGAGTGATGATACCAGTCACCCTCTTCTTCCTAACCACATCTTTTGACTGATACTTGT